AATATAATAACCATATTAGAATAATATATTACCTTATTTATTACTTATATTAGCGCTTCATCATTAACATATCATACAAATATATATATATATATATATATATATATATATATATATAATAGACTATATTACATATTGTAATATTATATAATGTTGTGCGCTATCTGTCATTCCCACTGAAGGCTCATCAGTAGATCCTGCTTTTTGGAATACGCCCCAGGAATTGAGTATGACACCCTGCTCTAGATGCTTTATTGAGCCCATACATCACCTTTGTAGATAAACATAAGAATCTCAGCGATGAAGAACGCTGCAAAATACCAGCCATTCAAATGAAACAGGATCTGCAGTGGTGTGGAGGACAACTGAGATACTTTGTTAAGATGCCACATAAACAAAGCAAACAAAGATAGATGTGTAATTTAGAAAACTGTAAAGGACAGCTTGAAAGGATACGACAGGTTGTCTTCCTGCAAAAGTGAAATTAAATTAGTTAGGTCATCCTTTATTGAGAAATTTGTGAGAGCAGGTCAACTTACTTATGACCAAAAAACAAACAAACACTGAATTAATGAACATAATGTTTGACTAAAAGTAGAGGAGAGACTGGGAATTGTAACCCCTTTTGTCTCTGGCTGTTTTGGTCCCGAAACTCTCAAAAATTGCCTACCCACATCTGATCACTATAAATATCAGCCATTTTAAGATCTAATGTTATCATAAAGTTAAAAATGATGCTGAATTTTTGAAATTATGTCATCTGCAAACATGAAACATGAAATTCATATTCTCATAAAATCCATCTATTTAAATATAACACTGATTTTTAAATAAGAAAATAAATCGTAACCGCCACTGAATGAATGAATGAGTAAAGGGGGGTAACGTTAATTGCGATTTTTTTTATTTCAGAATTCTGGCTTTTTTTTTTTGGCCAGTTTACATCTGCCAATTCTGACTTTTTTTCCTCAGAAATGTTACATAAACTGAGAATTGTAAGATACAAACGCAACTGCGAGTTATAAAGTCCAATTCTGAAGGGGAAAGACTATTTTCTCAGAATTGCGAGTTTGTGTCTCATAATTCTGAGGGGGAAAAAAGCCAGAATTGTGAGATAAAAGATCGCAATTACCTTTTTCATTCAGCGGCGGAAAGGGCTTATATACAGTAACGTTAGATTCACTACCGACAACCAGTGTTGGGGGTAATGCATTACAAGTAACGCGAGTTACGTAATCAGACTACTTTTTCAACTAACTAGTAACGTAACGCATTACTTTTTAATTTACAAGAGAATATCGGAGTTACTTTTTCAAATAAGTAACGCAAGTTACTTTTTTTTTTTCCAATTTATTGATTGACAGCTCTCCTGTCCCCATGTTGAGAGAAATCAGATGTTACTGTAGTTCTAAAATTAATATGAATATGCATGAATTCATCTCACTTACAAAAAAGAAAAAACAGATTCAATATTCCTCAAAATGAATAAAAATAATGCAACTCCGAATATGACGCAAACCTGCAATAATTAAATGTTAAACAACTCAAATATTCGTTATGTATTTAATCCCATTCTATTAACCAATGTCTTTGCTTCTGACCTTCGATGATCCAGTTCAACCGTACTAATAAGCAAAAATTATTCTAGACAAACATTTGTGTGTCTTTATTTATTGCTGAAGTGTGTTGAAATTTCTTCTTCTGCATTCTACTGTACGGACGTAAATTGACTTTTCCTTCAGCCTGAGGCTTATTCATTTCACTTTTGGTGTGAAAGGCTTTTATATTTGCCAAAAATATAACTTTTTTATGTTAAAAACAAACAAGTAAGCCCTGTCTAGATTTAAAAAGTAACGCAAAAGTAACGTAACGCATTACTTGTCATAAAAAGTAACTAAGTAACGTAATTAGTTACTTTTTTATGGAGTAACGCAATATTGTAATGCATTACTTTTAAAAGTAACTTTCCCCAACACTGCCGACAACATAACGCTTTTGGAGTTCTTCTCAGAAAGCAAAGTTTTGATGAATCTTCTGAAGTGACTATCAGACAGTAGCAACAATCTTAAACGCCTCAAGAACAAAGTGGGTATGTATGTACACGAATGACAACACGAGTATCCATGTTTTATGCAACAAGCGGCAAAAACGAGTAAATCAGTTTTGTTCATGAGCAAATCACAGGCAACTCATTAGTTAATAATAACAAAACGACAGCAGTCATGAATGGCTAACATTAGCTTGACGATACTTACCCTCCATTCGAATCAAACAGGCATTAATTGATCGCTTTTTGTTTACCAAATCATTTTATTTGGCTTCATAAATAGCCATTCGTTCTATTCACAATAAAATATAGTCAAATGTGTGCCGACATCGAGCTAAAATCAACTTATTTACAACTAACCCATCATTCTGCTTACCGTGCGCGGCCATGTTGAATTGTCATGGAAACGGCATACTGTGGGCGGAGACAACCATCAGCCGTCCAATCAAAACCCGCGTCAAAAAAACAAGCGCGCTTATTTGATAACTTTACATGTCTTTATTTGAACGGGAACGATTTTAAGGCATTCTATTTTACTTATAAACTCAATCCAGTACACTGCAAGAAAGTACATGCTTTTTGAAGAAAACATGAGTTTTTGTTAATCACCAGCTAAAACCATTAATGAAATAAAAGCACATCAGAACAAACAAGCTATAATTAATAAAAAAAAAGATCAAATAAAATGACAATTTCTGCATTAGTACTGAATCACTTAATGACTTAACACATATTATGATGTGAATTAGCTACAGTATGTTATCATTATGAGCGTCTATGAATGATTTCTGGATTGGCTTGATTCATGTCATGGTTTATGTTGAACGCTCCTTGTGCTCCTAAGAGAAAAAATAATGAGAACACGTGTCAGTCTTGTATCAATTCTACCACACTAAAGATAAAATATCAAATCTGATAGATATGCAAAATAATCATGCAAATAAGAAGTCTGTGAAGGTTTGCCTTCAGCTTTTGATGATGCATTGGGGTCCTGCAGTGGTCGTCCTTGGCCTCTTCCTCACTGGCATAGATGGCATTACACAGGCTGCAGAAGTAACCCACCACAGGCCGAACAAACTCTGTGCCTGTTGGTAAAGTACCAAAGATCAGTTCTGCAGAAGCAGAGCTGTACTGTCCAATATAGCCTTGCTACTTGTATTAAACAGTAGCTACTTAATTCCCTGAGGATTTGCATGAGCGTTAGAACCTCTCACAGCTCAGGTTTAAGCATCATGTTTTCAGAGGGCTGTGAAACACGCTCTTACCCACTGGATCCATCACAGGTGTTTGCGTCTCTGACACATCGTCTGAATTTTCCTCCTTCGTTACGCTTCCATCATCAGCTGCAGAAACCTGCTTCTCATCTCCCTTCGAGTTGTCATCTCGATTATCATTCGAAGACTCCTAAAAACCAGTGTTATTCATCATCAAACACATAGTATCGGTAGATATGCTGCACAGCAGTATCTGAAAGCTTACCAAACAGGGATTTGACCAAAGACAGGAAAATAAGTGAGAATGATCTACCTCGACATTCGCTGATGTCTGGATAGACGGCTGCTGCTCAGAAATACTGTTTTGTGTCTTGGATTCATCATTTTCCTCCTCTAACTCGAAAGATGGGTGTATAGAACCATCACTAGGTCCATGTAGAAAGTACCTAGCAAACAATACAAAATGTGTAGGGATGCAGTGAGTGACTTTCATAATTGATTATTCATAAACTGGTCAAATAGTGTTTACATTTGAAAAATGTGCAAATTGAAAACTATAAAATATGATGAAGTTCATGCTAAACATACCATGTGCAAAAATGTTACAAAAAAAGTGCACAACATATAATATGCTTCACAACAAAGTGTTTGTCCAGTTTTCAATATGAGGAACAGCAACGTGACTCTAAGAGACGGCTATATCCTATTATATGTTATAGTCCCATTGCAGTTACTGTTCTCATAAAAATAGCATTACCTGTGTTAGATGTAGGATTCAATTAAACATGGTGCATTTAAAACCTAAATTTAGCATCTCAAAAACATTTAATCAGAATAACGAGTTTTCTGTTGCACTCCAGCTAGTTTATATAGAGTTCGTGCTCATTAACATCTAATGGGGACTTATAATGATGAGCCTTGTAGCAAAACACCTCTCAAGCACACTAAAGAGCACACTCCTCTGTCCAAACACCTGACAAAGGCAATCCAAATCAAAGCCTATAATCTTGTTTGAATATAAAATGCTTTGTGCTTTGGACAGTTTTGGGTTCTGCACTTTTTGTCAAAATTTTTCACTATTGTAAACTGACATCACTTGACTAATTGTTAATAATGCCGACTATAATCAATTTTGCAGGTCTTGAGGCCCAGACTCTGTGTTTGACATCAAGAAACAATGACTGCTTGCTACACACTATAAAGATGACAAATAAGTAACTAGCACTGCTATTTTGAATTTGCATTTTAGTACATCAAAATGAAGTGCATAAATTACTATCCAATACCTTTTATTTAAATGAGCATGTTTGGTAGACACTGAAATCTTGGGATGCATTCCAGCAACTGTAATTTTATTCATGTTGGCCGCAGCTACAACCTTTTCAGCATCAGAGGCATTTTTCATTTCAATCAGTCCCTGGTGGGTGGGAAGAACAACATTTTAAGATTTCATTGATGGAAGCACTGAATCTATTTGAAATATATATATGGCAGATATAGCTACTAACCGTTCGATGAAGGCGAAACATCCAATGGCGTACTACTTTACCATACGGTTCTGCGATGCTCAGAAATTCTGCATCAGTGTACTCATCAGGCATTGGAAGGTTTCTGATCCGGAGAACTCTGCCATACCCGTCCTGAAGTATTGGAAAGCAACAGGACACTGTGTTAGCTGAGCTGTGTATAATCAATGATACGCCAATGTTTACATGTGTTTTGTGGCCTCCGTAAAAAGACATATACTGCTAAAAAGACGTTATATTTGAGATTCATTTTGTGAAATTGTTTCTTGATTTGACCTCCTCATCACTAGACGTCTGCATGATTGTGTCCATGTTGGTTTCCTTTGCTTCCTGAGCCTCAGCATCTTCTTCAGAGATCTCGGTCTCAGCCATCACTACTGTACTCTCCTCACTGGAAGCCAGTGTGCTTGATGGCTCCTTATTGTTCTCTTCAGTATCTTCCTTAACTTTCTCTTTCTCAGAGTCAGCGTCAACATTTTGCCTAAAACAGAATCAAATATCATCTGATGTGTTCTTCAGAACACGAGAAAACTACAGAAAAGTAGTTATTGAAATGTAAGTTACCCCTCGTTCAAGTGGCTGTATTTCTTTGACACGGTTATCCTCAAGTTTCTGCCGCCTAGTTTAATGTGTTGCCTTTTACACTCGGCTTCGAGTTTTGCAGCATCGGCAGCATTCACCATCTCAATTAATGCCTTCTCCACCTGCAACGAAAACATAATTAACATAATTCTACATATATATATAACAGAGACAAATCCTGCACATCACGTATCATGAGCACTTCAAAGTAGAGCTGTAAGGAATTCTCATGAAAACTGTAATGATTAGGTCAGACTATATCAATGATAGGTTAACTATTTCCGAAAGCCCTAACGAATAGATTCAAAACTCACGTAGTTCTAAACATTTTTCTTCTAACAGAATATTTTAGTAAATACATGCATTCAAATATAACTGTGTATGTGACATTTCAGAGCAAATACATACATTGAGCTGTCTCTGACAAATATCATCAAAAGTAAAAAAAATACTAGCATTAAAAATCGCCTAGCATTAAAAAATAGATTGCAAATTAACAGTTTGACATTTTGCTTATTTTTGCATACACCATTTCCTTCTATTTAATGTTAAAATGATGCTTTAATTTGATCATTTTACCTTTCGATTGCTGCGAACCAGACAGCAGTTTGCCACATCTCCGTATTTTTTCCCAATTTTCAGTAAATCTGCTTCACTGTATTTTTTAGCCACTGGAAACCCTGCCACCTCCAGAACTTTGCCAAACTTTTCCTGAAAAAAGGGGAACGTTATAAAGAACTCAAAATGCCTTGGCATAATTAATAGAAGACACCATAATTTGTGTTCCATATAAACACAATCACAAACCCTTTAAAGGGAAAAACAGACTAACCTCAGTGCTTGAAGTCGAGATCTCCATTTCATCACCTAAAACAGAATGGACATACTTCTTCAATTACCTTTGAAACGTAATAACTAAAGCAAACTACAAAAACAGTTTTAGGAAAACATACAGCAACTTTATTGCTTTTACTGTTGAATTATTCAATAACCATGTAAAATAAATACCTTTTTCTGTCAACACTCCCTCCTTGTCTAGATTCTCAGAGAAATCTGCTGCCTCCTACACAGACGAAACAGGACAGATGTAGGCTACATATATAGAATGCAACATTATTAACTGTGTATCATTCACTACCAACTGAAATACTTAAATTGTGTACATTCTATTCAAAACTTGAATAGACTTGAACATGTGTTGTCAGAAAGAGCACCAAAGCTGCTAGGCCATGACCAGTAATTCTACATTTTTTGATATCCTTTTTTTTTTAGATGTCGAGTCCCCAATTTCAAAATGTGGGTAACTGTTACACTCATTTGCGTTTACCTCCGTCTCCACTGTATTGTCTTTTTGCTCCCCTTGTTGCTGGTTTTGTTCTCCTTGTTGAAGCTCTTTTTTCTCTCCTTGTTGAAGTTCTTTTTGCTCTTCTTGTTTAAGCTCTTTTTGCTCTTCTTGTTTAAGCTCTTTTTGCTGAAGCTCTTTCTTCTCTCCTTGTTGAAGCTCTTTTTGCTCTTCTTGAAGCTCTTTTTTCTTTTCTTGAAGCTCTTTTAGCTTTTCTTGAAGCTCTTTTTTCTCTCCGTGTTGAAGCTTGTTTTGCTCTCCTTGTTGAAGCTCTTGGGCTTCCTTACAATCGCTCGAACTTTCCGAAGTAGTAGCAGTTGGTACACACTCTGACGTCTCTGGCTGTAAGCTCGATGTGTCCATGTCTGAAGGTTTAGTCTGATCATCTGACTCTTTCACAGTTTGGACATCTTCAGATGCATCCTGTTCATCGGAGGTTTCATGCGCCTCATCATCCATCTCTTCATCTACTGTGAGCTCATCTTCTGAATTCAGTGCCTCACCATCATCTGCTATAACTGCCACTCCTTCAAGATCACTATCATCAGTCATGATGTCAGACTGATTGTTGTCGTCTTCAACAGTCTCCTTCACACTTTCTTCTGTTTTTGTTTTTTGCTTCTGGTCTTTCGAAGGAGAGCTTTTTTTAGAACGGGATTTGGATGAGCTGTCCCGTCTAGAGCTCTCTTTGGTTTTCTCCCGTGAGCGTCGACTTTCTTCTCGTTTCTTAGAGTCGTGACTCCTGCGAGACCTGGACCTCTCTTCAGAAGCTCTTCGTTTGGGGCTGGGAGAGTCTCTGTGGGATCTCCTCCTGGGGCTGCAACTCCTCCTCCTCCTCCTGCTGCTGCTGCTATAAGGAACTGGTGATTTTTCTTTGTCAGCATCCGTCATTCTAGACCATGAAGAGAAATATCAAGCATGTTATTTTAGAAGTAGAATGGAAAAACGCACACCAAATTAAAAAGTGTAACATCTCTAGTGTTACCCAACAAAACAGAATAAAATCCATGTCCAAATGCAAAAAAATGGTGTCTTTACAAGCCAACATAAGATCAGCAAAACAGGCTTACTCAAGCGTCTGGTACTCAGTTGAGGAACAAACGTTAATGGTTTTTCCTTTTATTTTAAGTGAATTGGTTGAATAGTGCTCCACCAATTTGTCGGCCTCCTCTGCACTGCTCATCTCCACATAACCCTGTAAAAAGGCACAACGTCTTTATACAACAGATGACTGCAGAGAAAAAACATGCCATAAAATAAGTAAATAAATAGAAATATCTGCACAACAATAAGCTTAGCTACCCGGCTTGGGAGAAACAGAGAATGTTTTACTGATCCGAAACGCTTAGCAATGGCCGTCAACTCGGACCGTATGCCATCACCAGAAGGTAACGGTGAAAAGCTCACTACACGAGAAGTCTGTAAAACATGAAGGAAATCATTCAATCACCATTGGTGGCATACTAAAACAAATCAAATGGATGCAAGTCACTTCTGAAGGTGTCATTGGTAAAATCTTCTGAATGGCACTAGGAAAATATCTGTGATCCCTCCCTAACATAACTGAATTAGGTGCCCGGCTGAAAAGCAGATAGCTGAGTGAATGTAGCTGAAGTGGATCATTCAAGTTAATCATCATATTCAGCTTCATAAGCCGGTATCATTTTGTCATGTGTGTCATTTTGCTTATCAAGCCTTTGACAACACAGATGAAGCACTGCTGCATTCTTGCTCCATCTCTGACTGCAAAGTCTCAACCATATTTTTAGGATTGGGTTTTGTAAAGTAGGGGAGAGTCTAATTCAGGGACTAGTCTGGCAGAAGTTTCAAAATGTTTAACATCGCTAACAAGCAGGGGTTTTGAAACTGGTTCATTGAAAATTTTTAGAGAAAAACTGTTTACCGTTTCCTAAAACTAGGAAAACAAATCATGAGCTTAACCATATATTTTATAATAATTTCTATTAGTATTACTACAGTGACAATATAATGACTAATCAATGTAGGAAACAACATGTTGTCTTTGTAATATCACTTAATATTTTCTCATACTGAATAAATGGGTTCACACAGGAAAATATGTAGTTGTACTTCTATTTTAGGAAGAAGGTCCTATTTAGTCGTCCTCTGCATCAAAAAGTCCTGGCTTAACACAAAATATAACATTTAACATATTTACTCACCTGTAGGAAATTGAATGCTGCAGACAGAGTAAATATGATCAGTTCTCCTCTGATCCTCAAAGGGTTTTGGTAGAAATATTTTACTATATCCTCTGCCTGGCCTGCTGTTCCCATATTCACAAAAGCCTAAAACATATTACAAGAAAAAAGTATTACAGCCCATTTAAAAATCAGATTCATATATTTGTTAAAGGAGTTATATATATATATATATTTAAAATAAAATGCAAAGTCCTGGCTTACAGCACCTTCAATCTTTCATTTGATGAGCATTTAACAAAACTGTGCTGATCATTACTCACCTGTAGGAAACTGACTGCTGCAGACAGAGTAAATTTGATCAGTTCTCCTTTGATCCTCAAAGGGTTTTGGTAGAAATATTTTACTATATCCTCTGCCTGGCCTGCTGTTCCCATATTCACAAAAGCCTAAAACATATTACAAGAAAAAAGTATTACAGCCCATTTAAAAATCAGATTCATATATTTGTTAAAGGAGTTATATATATATATATATATATATTAAAAATAAAATGCCATACCATTCTAGGTAACATGATAATTTTGACAATCGCCCCAAACTGGCCAAGCAATTTTTTCAGGTAAGCTTCATCCACATCATCCACTTCAAACTTGACACACACCACTTTGCACTGTAATCAAATTTAGTTAAATAAACAAATATAACAATGTCTGAACTTTAAACCAGCAGTGAAACAGAACATCACAAATAAAAATCCACCTTCGTTGTTGCTTCAGTGTTATTGCGGTTTTGGCTGCTTGATGATTGACTTTTACTGCTCAACGCTGCACTTTTGCTGCCTGACGATCCATTTCTACTGCTTGAGGTTCCACCTGAAAAAAGCACAACATCTATAATATCTAAAATATCTAGAAGATAGATAGCTTGAATCACTACGAAGAGAATAAAGACGTTACCTCGTTCCTGTGTTGTTCTGGACGTGTGTCGATCAGGATGGGGCTCATTTCTGTTAAAGTGTGTACATAACATGTAAACTAACAAATTTTTGGAAATGTGCTGGTTTACAAATATAATGAGGGAATGATTCTACCTTCGAGCAGATTGGATTGTCTGATCCCACGCTGGATATCTAATGAAGAAGGATATGTGTGTAAAACATTTATTGACATTTGAGCATTTTGGCAGTTGCTTTTAACACATTCAAGGCCTGCATTATATCAGTATGTGAGCAGAACTGAACCCGTGCAATTGTTAGTATTATGCTACTGATAACTCGGTGTACCACATAAAACATCAAGGTGGAAAATACATAATACTATTACTTTATTAAAATGTGTCGTAAAAAATTGCACATGCTTTGTCTGTACATGGAGTTATGTTTCATGTTAAATCTGTATGACTACTGGCAATAAATCTGTATAAAATGTAGCTAAATCTCTTAAATCATCCTCACTATCACCAAATATGTTTCTTAAACCGCTTGAAATAATTATTTAGCAGCAACATGACTGCACAGGAGTTTTAGAACAAAATTAAAGAATAAAGTTGAAGATACTCACTTTTCCACAAGACTAAGTTGACTATGAGCATGTTGGGCTCCTTTTATATGCAAAGACCAGTCCTAAAACACAAGTTATATCTCTAAATATTCATTCATGAGGCACTAAATTGTATAATATGACAAAGTACATTTATAGTCCATATGATTAAGACAGACTTCCATCAAATTTAAACGAAAAGAATTTGCACAAATCATGTATACTGTTATGCTAATTAATTTTTCACACCCTCTAACTGCATATGCTATCAAAATTAACAGATCCTAAATGTTGGTTGTTTGCTATCTTAATGAAAAAAAATCTAACAAAAACGACCATCATATCAAGAACAAAATGACAAGTGAATTATCAAGTCATTATGCAGTACCAATCTTCCTTTCCATTATAGCCCTTAAATCTCATTCCCACTAGAGCATATTCATACTTTTTGCATCAAGATGAATTACACCCAAGTATGACTTCATGCCTCAGTGACTCCATTGGTTCCTGCATGTCTTGTGACCGAACATGATGCAGCACATTTGCATATGTGGGAGCAGGAACGAGATTTGAGGACTACGGCAGGGGGATAATGACTTCATACAGTGCATGAGTCCACTGGACTGCTTTAAATGTTACTTTCTATCTTTATTAGGTTCAGTACAACATGACAGAATTTCCACTCTGGGGTAAACTATACCTTTAACGCATTACTAATAAACATGCTACTTGGACTTACCTCATATGCCACAGTACGCTCATGTGTATTTTGCCTGCAACTGTCTGGTAAATAGCTGGTAATGTAGAATCTGTGAGAGCAAAAATAAGCTACTTACCTTGTTAGAGAGGACAGTGATATCGCAGAGCACGCATGCGTAGGGAAATACTGGTGGAGTTTTCCCGTGGAAATCTGACGCCTCCTTCCTGGTAGGCACTCTAGGAGCTGACTCTGTCCTCCGTTGGTGTGAAGACTGACCAACGTCTCTGCTGGCCAGGTGCGAGGGTGGTGCAAGGTCTCTGATGGACAGGAGCGAGGGCAGACCGACGTCTCTGCCGGACAGGAGAGAAGGTGGGCCGACATCTCTGCCGGACAGAAGCGAGGGTGGAGCGACGCCTCTGTTGGACAGGAGCGAGGGTGGACCAACATCTCTGCTCGACAGATGTGAGGACTGGCCAATGTCTCTACCGGACAGATGTGAGGACTGACCAATGTCTCTACCGGACAGATGTGAGGACTGACCAATACCGGACAGATGTGAGGACTGACCAATACCAGACAAATGTGAGGACTGACCAATACCGGACAGATGTGAGGATTGACCAATGTCTCTACCGGACAAATGTGAGGATTGACCAATGTCTCTACCGGACAGATGTGAGGATTGACCAATGTCTCTACCGGACAGATGTGAGGACTGACCAATGTCTCTATTGGACAGATAAGAGGTCTGACTGACATCTCTGCTAGAGCGATGGGAGGACTGACTGACGTCTTTACTGGACAGATAAGAGGACTGACTAACATCTCTGCTAGAGCGATGGGAGGATTGACTTGCATCTCTACTGGTCAGAGGAGAGGACTGACTGACGTCTCTGCTGGACAAATGTGAGGATTGACTAACATCTCTGCTGTGGCTAGAGTAAGACTGCGGGACAACGGACGTTTTCTGCCTTGATGGTTCTGTGGCATAAGACGCTTTATCAAAATAAGACTGTTTGTCTTTCAGATGGTTGTACTCAACCACATAGTTTGAGTCAGAACTGGTGTGCGTGCATGTTGGAGAGCTTGTTTGTTGGGCATTTTCCCAGCGGTCGTCCCAGGTTGGAAGCTGCTCTCGAGGAATGGAATATGACTGACGGACAGGCAAATCCAATGGATACTCAACCAGCTGAGTGTGGCTCCTGTCGTCCCAGGAGCGAGATGACGAACCGGGTTGGAGTGCACTGGACCTAGATGAAGAAGTGTTGGATGCTTTCTTATTTTTGATCTGCGCAAGAAGGTCAGGAAGGGTATCGGCTGCGATGAGATGCTCAGGAAGCTTGGCCAGAGTTTGAAGGTCTTCAGCATCCAGTCCACAGCTATGCAGAAAAGACAAAGCCTTAGCAGACGAGAGGACAGGTTCTGATGAGGATGGAGACGTCCGCTCTGGAGATCCGCTCCTAATTCGCGACCTGTAAGCGGTAGACTCCCGGTGATAAATTCGTTGCGAGTCTTTGTACTTGTCATTGCTTGCGCTGTAATCATCGGGTGGGTTTCGGTATGGTTGATTGTAAGACATGTCTCAAAGTTGTCAAAAGTGGTCAAATATGTGTAGGACCTCAAAAAAATCAGCTCTTGCCGGGGCAGCTGCTGCTCACCTGTTAAAAAGTTGGTAAGGAGAATTTGTTCTCCTTGTATTAATACTACAATATTGAAGAGATCAGCTTCAGGTGGAAGATTTGCTGGTGAATCCGGTTGAGGGGTGTCACCTGTATCAGTCTTACCTTGAGATGAAAAATTAAATCATTCACACTTTGTGGATGTCTCTGGATTTGTTTTATAAAACTTCAACTGTATCAGACCAGTAATATCACAACTAGTAAGTTAATTAAAGTAACTGGTAGAGGTCTAATGTCCATTAAATTTGTTAGAGGATATGTATAAAGGAAAGCAACTTTAACTGGAAACCTTCATCTTTACGTTTTGAATCACTTTCGCTTTTATTTCAACATGCATTTATAATACACGTAAATTATTATATAAGATAAAAAAAAAAGATAGCATGTCACTGCTTGAAATTTCATATGTAAACTACCTCAATGTATGTGGAGTTTGCTTTTCAACTTAAAAGTGAAGAATAATTTGACAGTTTTTCCTGAAAGGTTTATCTCGTGTTTTGGCCTGATGCTAAGCGCCATATTTCCGTTGGTCTTTGGCCCTGATGCTAACCGCCATATTCCCGCTAATACAATAACATCATATGGGGCGTTATCAAATTATATTACGAAGGAAATAATCAGTTTGTATTGACTTATGAAAAAAACTTACCTTACAAGCTGGAATAAAGCAACTGATCGCTAAAGCTATGCAAGATAGCGGTTACGGTGAAAGACGTTCTTCTCGTCTCGGTGTCTAAACCGGAAATGTGATTTCAAAATAAAAGTCGCCCCGGATGTATTGTTTGAATATGTGTGAATATTAAAAATGACTTATTACATTTTATTCAGAAATAAAATAATAACATATACACTATAGCATTAATTGGTTAGAACAGAACTTAAAAATAAGCTCTGATAACACCAATGTTAATGAAATGTTTGTCACGACTATTAATCAGTATTGTTACAGTAGAAATAACTTTACCAACTAAAGTATCATAGAGAAAAACTATGGTTAAAATGTCAAATTATGTAAACACAGCTGTCTTCTCTCTCTGGCAAAATCCCAAAAGCCTTGTAAATACTGGAGGTTTTATATATAGACCAGAGACGGAGGAAGAAGAACTGACCTTTTATTTTTCCAGACATTTATTGCCAGTAGTGCCCTAACACTTGCTATATTACAAAGCCTTTTTAGCAATACAAAAATTTACTAGAGAGAGAGAGAGAGAGAGAGAGAGAGAGTGAGTTTTACTGTAAGGTGTTCTGAGCATGATTGATTAATTACATTATAACATTAAAATAAAATACTGATGTTAAGAATTGTATCTTTCATAAAACCTTTCAACATTCCCCAGACAATGCATGACTTTTTATAATATCTCTCTCTCTCTTTTGCATTTTGTGAAAGATATATTTCATGACCTCAGTATTAATAAAACAACAGAAAAAGAAAAACACAGTAGTAGCAGTTAAGTGTGTGGCATAAAATTTCACATCTAAATCGTTATAACAGAACAGCTATGACTTGCTTATGAAGCTTTTACTACTACATTAAATGGAGAAAATATTTGTTAATTTAAAAAAATAATAATACAAATAAATAGTCTATTAAAAGATGTTCCAGCATGAGTGGCTCATTTCTTCATCCCATTACTCTGTGCTTTGGCTTCCTCCTCTTCCAAATATTTTAGATGAGGAAAAAAACCAGAACATTTGTTTCAGAAACATATTGAATAGCAACATCACAATTAGTGAGGTTCTATTTTAGTGAATCCTCGTTGCAACAACAAATTGTAGATACCATGTAAATAAGATATTCGCTGTACAGTGTAATCAATCATTTTTTGATTAGAACTGGAATTTTCACAAGAATTCAGTACTCTGTTAACTCATGCTAAACTGAAGTGACTGACCGCTTCATCGATCACAAAGAGAGCAGTCTTTGCTCACTTTCTGTAATGCAAACCAAGTCAAATGCCTGGCTTTGTGAAACAATTTATTAGCAAAATCAAAGCCATCTTACCAACTGGGACATTACCAAGAGCAGCGCTTCTAGATTCTAGCTTTATTTGAGGCAGTGCTGGTGTAGTGTATTTTCCCCCAGTCTTCACACTCTTCTCTGATACAGCAGCAACAGTCTCTTCATCTTCAGCCTCCTGGTCAAAGGACAGCAAAGGAAAGCAGTGGATAAATCTCTGTCTGGGCTGAGATGGATCTCTCCGAGCCTCCTAAAACAGTCATCATGCCATTTGATGTTGTAAATCAGATTTAGTGCACACTGTCATATGCACTACACAACAAATATAATGACTGTGATATAGTTCTATAGTGATATAGTTAATACTACAATAATGTTTTCACTCTAACTCGTTATGTACAATAAAGTAATTAGTTTGTATCTCCTTCTTGTATGATTACTTTTTATTATTATTTACCCCATGGTAACTGTTCATTTAAAGGAAATAGATCTCGCATTAAAGAAACGGGAGGAGGAGCGTAATTATTCTTTAATTTTATTATTGTCTTCCAACTTTAGATTGGTCAGGTCATACCCCTTTAATTAAATAAATAAAAATAAATATATATATATAATCACCCTTACGTCTTACCAATGACCGATTGACTTCCGTAAAGTGAAGGTAAATGTGTTTTTTTGTGTATGTTTGTTCCCAACTTACTTAAAACAAACCTTTAGTGGCCATAGGTTTGTTTGGAACAACAAAGTAGCTACAGTACATGGTTTTCACGGTCATACAGATGTACTCTACTCTGTAAGTTTGTCCTCACATACCTCAGTTTTTAAAAACCACACAGGGACGGCTGTTGACTTCAGATATCGTCGTACATTTCCCTTATCTGACCTGAAATCGTCTCGTGAAAAATGTAAACTGCACAGCCTCAAAACGTCCAGAGACTGAACGGGTAAACCAGTATCCCGCTGAACCGCGAGCAGCCATAGCCTCAGGCGCTGCGGATCATTCAGTGGGAATCTGTGAAAAGTCAGCCTTTCCTCTGGCGATAACGGCCGAGGACGCAACCTCACTGCTTTCTGTCTGTTGAAACATCCAGGAAAAGCACACATACGCACCATCGTTCAATTTGCAGCATAACCCTTTTGTAACTATACAGCTCGGTTGTAAACAGCGCCCCAGTTTGTATCGTAAACACGTCAAATCTGTCGTAAAATGCGCATGCGTCAAGATTCAATTTATCAAAAGGGTTTAACATTTTTGTGGATATAGGTAACAGATAAAACAGTTGCCCCTAGTGCTACAATCTGAGTAAAACTTATCTTTAAACCACATAACCACAATTCATCAATTGATCATACATAGCTAAATGTGACAAAAGGGCCCTTAGGTCTTAAATGATATACCAGAGAAATAGATTTTCACAAATAGGTTTACATTTTAAAATGCATCTTTACTGTTATTCCAATCTTGTGACAAACTCATTAGCACAGATTTACTGTATGCTCTGATTACATAACAATGGGGCCATGAAAAGGTTCTCCTTTCACAGAATACAAATTAAATAGAAAAAAAAGATTAAAAAGAGTCAGACAGAGTCTGAGGAATGCTGAAATTTAATAAAAGAAAGGAAAAACAAAAATACAGTTGTTGTAGTAGTAGCAATTAAGGCGTAAAATGTGTTAAACTTCACATCTAAATCACTAAAACAGAACAGGCAGGAATATGATTTACGAATGTGTCAGCTTTCATTACTACTTTAAAAAGAGCGAAACCTCAGTCTAATCTTTTTTTAGAAAAAAAAAACCATTTAAAATTCACAAAACACAGCACAAAGGACATATTAAGAGATGCTCCAGCGTGCCGTGAACGGTTTATTTCTTCGCTCCATTACTCTGTGCTTTGGCTTTCTCCTTTTCCAGATATTTCTGTTGCGAAAAAGAACATTTGTTTCAAAAAGAACCAAAAATGTCAATGTAATATTTCTGATATAAAAAAGTAAGTGAAACCCCAAGCTGTAATACATAATCTAGACCTCAGTCCTTTCCTGACATCTTATGCTTTTACAGTTAGCGCATTACAAGTGACAGAATGATGAGGATGAAAAAAAATGATCACCTTAAGTTTATCGTAGTGTGCTTGGCTACTGCAGTGGATCTTCTTTGCAGTGTCTTCATTCGAGTAAAACAGGAAGCAGACTCTGCAGTAATATCCCATCTTCACAAACTCCACACCTGAAACGGGTCGAATGGGATTCATTAATGAGACTCCTTAAAAGCCATCTAATCAGGACTATATTGCACAAATAGTGACTAAAATGGCCAATGTTTTTCCTAAGTCAGGGCATATCAGGTTTTTAAAAGACATTCATCGATTGGTTTGAAGCATTTAGCAGCAAGCCGAACTGATTTATTACCATATTTATGTGATTTTTTTATTCCACGTTTGTGGACAAGACTACTACTCCGTGAAGGAGACTAAATACATAGGTTTATGCCATGTCAAACTTATTTCTTTGCAAAAACCAAAGCCATCTTACCCACTGGGACATTAGGATCATATGCCTCAAGAGTAGCATGGCTAGTGTCAAGCTTTATTTCAGGCGGTGTTGTTGTAATGGGTTTTTCCTCCGTCTTCTTCACGCTCTTCTCTGATTCAGGGGGAGTAGCATCAGTCTCTTCCTCTTGTGGCTCCTGGGCAAAGGAAAGCAGTGGATAAATCAAGTACATCCTGTTGGCAGCATTTAAAAAAATATATTTTAGCTACTGTCTGGACTGAGATCACTGTCAAAATATGACTCCATAATCTATAATAAGACCCCCCCCCCAATATGAAAAAAAAAAAAAAAATCCATCCCCTGTTGTTCTCTCACATCAAAATCCACCCATATATTTGTTTAGAACTGTTTTGGCTTATAAACACTGCTTGATCCGTGCATATTTCTCTCCTGTTTCAGATGTGACCACTTTTCACTGGAGGAAGCGTTATGGACAAGTATCCATAATAAAGGGGTAAAAAACGTTTTGATGGATTTGTTTCTTACAAACACGCAGCTTTTGCTTCACAAGGTGTAAATTGATGGAGTGGTGTGGATTATTGTGGTGTTTTTATGGACTTTTTTGGACTCTCATTCTGACGGCACCCATTCACTGCAGAGGATACAATGGTAAGCAAGTGATGCAATGCTAAATTACTCCAAATCAGTTCCCATGAAAAAACAAACTCATCTACATCTTTAATGTCCTTAGGGTGAGTTTCAGTACATTTTCATTTTTGGGCAAACTATTCCTTTAAAGGGAGAGCTCATTCATAAGCATGCTACCCTCATCCAAAAAGGAATGGCAAACAAGACTATATTCATGCTATAAACAAAAATAATGAGGTCACTCACAGTCTCCATATTCTGGTGCTCTGATGTGTCTTTGATTTGTTCCTCCTCTGGATCGCTCTTCACTTCAGGAACGGTTTCTGCTGAAACATTTTGGCTTTCCTTCTCTTCCTGGCTCTCCTCTTTCTCAGCTTTATCAGTGACAGTCTCTTCCACTTTCATCTTCTTGACAGAAGGCTCTTCCTCTTTCTTATTCTTACTTTTGCCAGAGGAGTTGCTCTGGGTCTCAGACTCTCCGGAGCGCTCCCTCTTGAGTGGCCGTTTGTCCTCAGGCTCTGGGCTTGGAGGTCTGTGTCTGGGAGAAGATTATATTGTCAAAACAGATGCCATGCAATATTCTTTGGAAAGAAAAAAAAAAAAGGGAATCTGAATTTCCAACTGACCCATGTTTGAGTTGCTTATATTTCCTGCTCACGTAGACAA